GAACGGTTCAGACCGGCTGAACCGTTTCAGTCCCATTTTTACCGGTTCAGTCCCATTTTTACCGGTTCGGTCCGTACTTTACAATTTCAGCCCCGATTCACGAGTTCAGTGTCATTTTCAGTTAAAATTCCAGGTTCAGTTCAGTTCAGTAAGTTCATGTCCGATCAGTTCATGTCAGATCAGTTTCGGTTATTCCGGTTAAGTACAATTATCATGTCACGTTCAGTAGAGCATCTTAACACTGGATCAGACTTTAGAATTCAGGACATTCAGATATGACTCTAGAATTTAGTATCTTCTGATATGACTCTAGAGTTCCTCTGTATTCATGTCAGTAATTATCGGCCATTTTTTGGAAACTCGTCAAGATATTTGTATGCCTTATTAATCAGTCAGAATATTATCACGTGTTCAATAACGTTGAACTTTCTCAATGTTCAGATGCCGCCCCGTAGGGAACCCGATCACCCGACTCCTACTCAGGCCACAGTAGTCGCACAGTTCCGCGACTATCATGCTGAAAAATTCTCAGGGCAGGGAGATCCCCGCATCGTAGACGAATGGATTCAGGGCCTTGAGTTTATCTTCGAGGTCATCGATTGCCCCGATAGATATCGCGTAATCTGCGCTCAGCTTCAGCTCACTGGCGATGCTCGCTCTGGTGGAATGCCTACTGGAGCATGCGTCCCGGTGAGAAGGCGGGATGTACGTGGGATATGCTCAAGGAGCTAGTCCATGAGAAGTACTACCCCACCTATTATCGGGCAGAGATGGAGCGTCAGTTCTTATCGCTCCAGCAGGGTACTCGTACTGTTGATGAGTACGAGAGAGAGTTTACTAGACTTGAAGCTTTCGTTCCGGACCTGGTTCGCACGGAGGCCCAGAGAGCACAGCGTTTTATCGACGGGCTTTACCCAGCAGTCCGTCACAATATTGTAGGCCATGGGACTCAGACCTACGCTCGTGCAGTTTCGATTGCCCAGGAGGTGGACGCCAGCATTAGGAGGGAGGCTGCCCGTGATCGTCCTCAGCCATCCGCCCCAGTTTAGCCATTCACAGCTCCACCAGCTCTACCAGCTGCTCAGCCGACGAAGGAAAAGAAGAGGAAGGGGAAGGGTGCTCAGACTGACAAGATGACCCGACAGAGACAGCAGCAAGTTCCAACGTACCCGACTTGCGGACGACTTCATCGAGGAGAGTGCCACATGGGCCAGGACATTTGTTATTACTGCCATGAGCCAGAACATTTTGTGAGTCGCTGTCCAAAGAGACTTCAACAGCAGCCCCAGCAGCCTCAGCAGCCGCCACAGCAGCAGCAGCCACGTCAGCAGGCATAGAGGCCGCCTCAGCAGCAGCAGCAGAGGGGCAGACAGCAGGCCCGAGTCTACGCGGTGGATCAGGCCGAGGCAGCACAGCAGCCAGGTACTATGTCAAGGATGGTTGTGCTTAATGATATTCCGGTTTTCACTTTGTTCGATACCGGAGCAACGCATTCATTCATTTCACGACGATGTCTTGATGCCATTGGAGTTCATGCCGTTACCGCTGTCGATCCTCTCGAGGTGAGTTTAGCCTCGGGGCGAAAGATAGTAACCTCAGCTAAAACTTCAGATCGTAGCCTTTCCATCGGTGGTCGTTCACTGTCTACCGACGCGTTTGTTCTCGAGATGAGGGATTTTGACCTCATTCTCGGAATGGAGTGGCTATCCTTTTATCATGCAAATATCAGATGTCATGACCGGGAGATCACTCTCTATCTTCCGGGAGATGATTCGATTACCTTTTTAGGCAGCAAGAATCGTTCCTTACCTCACGTTGTTTCAATGGCGAAAGCTACTAAGTTACTGCGATGAGGCAACTGCCAGGGTTATCTGGTGAGCCTTGTCGATGATTCTCAGAAAGCACGATCACCTCACGATGTTCCAGTTGTTCGTGAGTTTGTGGACGTGTTCCCAGATGAGCTTCCAGGAGGACCGCCTAACCGGCAGGTGGAGTTCTCTATCGATCTCATTCCAGGAGCCGGTCCCGTATCCAAAGCCCCATATCGTATGGCGCCGAAGGAGTTGCAGGAGCTTAAGGCGCAGATTCAGGAGCTATTACGACTCGGTTTCATCCGACCGAGCGTGTCACCTTGGGGAGCACCCGTTCTCTTTGTTAAGAAGAAGGACGGATCCATGCGCATGTGTATCGACTACCGGGATCTTAACCGGTTGACGATCAAGAACAAGTATCCGCTTCCCAGGATCGACGACTTATTCGATCAGTTGAGGGGAGCCTGTGTGTTCTCAAAGATTGATTTACGATCAGGCTACCACCAGCTGAAGATTAAGGAGTCAGATATCGCTAAGACCGCTTTCCGGACTTGTTACGGCCATTACGAGTTCGTCGTTATGCCATTCGGTCTCAGCAATGCCCCAGCAGTTTTCATGAACCTCATGAACCATATTTTCCATCCCTACCTCGATCAGTTTGTTATTGTCTTTATTGACGATATTCTTATCTACTCGAAGAGCCAGAAGGAGCACGAGGAGCATCTGAGGGTGGTTCTCGAAACCCTAAGACGAGAAAAGTTGTTTGCAAAATTCTCCAAATGCGAGTTCTGGCTCCAAAAAGTATCTTTTCTGGGTCATGTGATTACTCAGGCAGGTATCGAGGTGGATCCTTCCAAGGTCTCAGCTGTTCAGAACTGGTCGACACCGAGGAGTCCGTCCGAGGTTCGCAGTTTTCTCGGTCTAGCTGGTTATTATCGCAGGTTTATTGAGGGCTTTTCCAAGATTGCCCTCCCTCTATCCCAGCTGACGAGGAAGTCTGCAAGGTTCGAGTGGACTGACCGATATGAGTCGAGCTTTCAGGAGCTCAAGAAGAGATTAACTTCAGCACCGGTGTTGACTATTCCCGATCCTTCTCGGAGTTTCACCATCTTCAGCGATGCTTCGAGACAGGGCTTGGGATGCGTCCTTATGCAGGATGGCCAGGTCGTCGCGTATGCTTCACGTCAGCTTAAGCCGCATGAGCAGAACTATCCGACGCACGACTTGGAGTTAGCAGCAGTCGTTCATGCACTTAAGATTTGGCGACACTATCTTTACGGCGGTCATTGCGAGATTTTCACAGATCATAAGAGCTTGCAGTATATCTTTACGCAGAAGGAGCTTAACATGAGACAGCGCCGTTGGTTAGAGCTCGTCAAGGATTACGATTGCTCTATTCAGTACCATCCGGGGAAGGCGAACGTCGTTGCTGACGCCCTAAGCCGAAAGGTAAGGGGTGACTTGACGTACGTCATTACTCAACAGAGTCCGTTGATTCAGGAATTTGCCCGGATGCAGCTTCAGGCAATCGATGCACTTCCCACAGTCATTTCAGGGAGTGTTAGTGCCAGTGTCAGTGCCATGCAGATTCAGCCGACGCTGAGAGAGAGAATCCAGCGAGAGCAGGCTTCTGACGAGTTCGTTCGTGTCATGGAGGCCAAGGTTCGCGCCGGAGGCGTCGAGGGTTTCCAGCTAGGTGCCGATGGTGCCCTAGAGTTCAGAGGCAGGATCGTGGTTCTGAAAGTCGAGGCGTTGCGGAAGGAGATTTTATCAGAGGCTCACACCGCACCCTATCTAGCCCATCCCAGGAGCACGAAGATGTATCACGACCTGAAGGGGTCGTTCTGGTGGCAAGGCATGAAGAAGGATGTCGCCGAGTTTGTCAGAAGGTGTTTTACCTGTCAGCAAGTCAAAGCCGAACATCAGAGTCCGATTGGCCTCCTACAGCCACTGCCGATTCCGAGGTGGAAGTGGGAGGAAGTCACAACGGATTTCGTTACGGGATTACCGAGGTCGTCTGAACATCACGATGCTGTCTGGGTCGTGGTCGACAGATTGACTAAGGTCGCTCATTTCCTACCCATTTCGATGAAGATGTCTTTGGATAAGTTGGCTGAGATATATACCCGTGGGATCATTCGACTCCACGGAGTGCCCGTGACTATTGTATCAGACAGAGATCCCAGATTCGTCAGCAGATTTTGGCACAGTTTACACGAGGCGATGGGTACAAAGTTAGAGTTCAGTTCAGCCTATCATCCGGAGACAGACGGTCAGTCAGAGCGGACTATTCAGATGCTTGAGGATATGCTTCGCGCTTTGGTTGTTGACAGGGGTGCTAAGTGGGAGTCATTGTTGCCATACGCCGAGTTCGTGTATAACAACAACTATCATTATTCCATTCAGATGGCTCCTTACGAAGCACTTTACGGTCGCAAGTGTTGTTCCCCTCTTTATTGGGACGACGTCGGAGAGCGACGAGTACTCGGTCCCAAGTTGATCGAGGAGACAGCAGATCAGGTCGAGTTGATCCGACAGAGACTCAAGATAGCTCTGAGTCGACAGAAATCTTCCACTGATCATCATCGACGAGACATTCAGTTCGAGGTTGGCGAGCCAGCTTTTCTCAGAGTTCGTCCGATTCGCGGAGTTGTTCGATTCGGAAAGAGAGGGAAGCTGCACCCTCTATTCATAGGCCCGTTCGAGGTTCTCGAGCGAGTAGGCGAGGCCGCGTATCGATTAGCCCTACCTCCCGAGTTGTCAGGCATTCATAATGTTTTTCACGCATCTATGTTGCGTAAATACGTGTGCGACCCCGATCATGTCATTCCTCATTCAAATATTCAGGTTCGGCCAGATCTTTCGTACGAGGAGCGACCGGTAGCTGTACTAGACCGTCAGGTTCGTCGGCTCTAGAAGCGAGATGTTCCCCTCGTGCGTATTCAGTGGGATCGCCACGGAGCTACTTGGGAGGCGGAGTCCGATATTCGCGCCCGTTTTCTAGATTTTCAGTTTTGATGTACATATTTCTTGTTCTATGTACATAGTTCATGTATTTTCAGTTATGTTTTGAATTTCCGAGGACGGAAATTTGTAAGGAGGGAAGATTGTAATATCCCGTCAGTTTATCAGTATAAATCATGTGTTTTAATTCTGATATGTTAATATTGTCGAGTATTAATTTTCGGAATTAATTATTTCAGTCGAAGTTATACGAAATTATTTTCGACGTCCCGTTTACGTTCGGAATAATTTTGGAAATTAATCATTATGTTTAATTAAATAGTTAAACATAATTTAGTGATTAATTATAAATTAATCACATTTAAGGGATTAAAAGCCGAAGCTTATGTGCAAAGTTTTCCAAATAGCCGTATGGATTTTCTAATTCAATTCATAATGTTTTCCTTCCATTTCAAGCCTTACACGTGTCACTTTGGGAGGATTATGAGAGGGATTAGTCATCCCTAAAGTTCCTAATAATCTCCAAGTGTCAAGCTTAAGTTAAGCCACAAAGCCTTTACTCATCACCTCATCATCTCTTTTGTTCGGTTCAAGTATAAAGATAGGAGTTGGGGCCGATTTTTCTCCCAACATTTCAGCTTTATATTTGTACCTTAAAAGTCTTTAAGTCTAGCAATAGATAATCAACTTGCCTTAGTATTTTCGTACCTCACGCACGGCAAGAACTCATCGCACACGGAAGGCACACGCGAGAACCAAAGGAGTTACGATCAGTTTTGGGAATTCCGACGAGCACTTGAGAAGGTAAATCCATTCTCAACCTTTATTTATGATAATAAGTTCATATAAGGTTGAGTTGTTCAGCTCATGTTTCAAGAATTCATGAATATGTAAAGATAAGCTCGGTTTAGGCCACTTCAAGTCATGACTGAGTAAAGTTCAGTTCTATCCGGCAACTCATGAACCATCCATGTTTATTTGATCAGTTTACATCATTTTATACTCAGTTACTTTATGTTGGTCGAGGCAAACGATCGTTTTGTCCCTGAATTGGCTCAAACCTTAAAGCCGTCGGCAGCGCACGTCGCGCATGCCACGGGCTGTCCCATGTCATGTTATGTTATCTCTTGTTATAGTCAAGTTTGTCCGTGCAGTTTATGTCTTAATAGCTTTAAAATGATGTTTCATGTTCAGTTGATCTTGAGTTGCCGAGGGAAAAGTCGAGTCGGTCAAGAGACGGCTTATCGCCGTCGGCGGCGCACGGTGCGCTCGCCACGGCCCTCTTCAGTTTATCGTACAAAGTTTATATTTTCAAGTTATTTCAGTGATCATGTTCATGTCATATCAGGTTATGTTATTTAAAGTCAGGTTGCACGAGAATTGTTGCCGGACGGTCGGCAAGGGCCGGTCG